TGGAATAGTGTTTGTTTCAGGCTATCCTGAATTCCTAGATGGCGGGAATTGAGCTTTCCCGACATTTGAAGTGTGTTTTAATGAATTTTATGTTCTTCAAAATTCTAATTTTCTAATAGCAAAAAAAAAAAAAAAAAAAAAAAAATCAGCTCACGGGTCCTGAAAAGGTAGGTCTAGAATCCTTTTCTTTTTCCCCTTCTTTTTGTAGCACAAGGGAGGGGTCAGAACCCATGATCCCCTCCTCCCAGATCCACCAATGTGAATTGCGAGAAAATGTAACTCGGTCGGGTACTGGATAAACATTCTCTTTCCCATCCTTCTCCTTCTTCCCTGCTTCTTTTTTTGCATTTCCGATCATACAAAGTTCTCCAGACATTATATATTTTTCGCCAAAAAGTGGGGGGGCCCGGGCCCCCCGGTTCCGCCGCCCATGAATAGTACCTGTAGATGGCCGGAAATGACACTTTTAAATAGTAAAATTAATTCCTAATCTTTTATCAGCTATTTTTGGCAACCACAGAGATCTAATTAGAATGCGTGATGTACGGTACCGTAGAAAATAAAACTTAAACACATTGTCTTTGATGTATTTACTTTACCTACTTCAAAACTGTCCACACGCATCTCCTGTGGTGGGGCTAAGGTGGTAAAATTTGTGGAAATTGTACCTCTAAATTGCCGGATATGACACTCTTATATAGTAAAATTCCTCATCATCAATCTAATTAATCGCTGTGATGTACCGGTACCATAGAAAATAAAACTTTGTTTTGTCTTCGATGTATTTACTTTATCTACTTCATGTGCCGAAAACCAATCTTTTCTTTGCACGCTTTTTCTCATACTATAAGGCACGCGCACTCGAGTCGCGTATTATAGGTAATTCAGATGTTTATGAGCAGAGATACCGGCATCTTGCTATAAAATAAGATGTATTCTGGCTGTAGAGCTCTCTTTCGTTAAAACTTAGGGTCATTTATGCAGTTTATTTCAACAATTTCCAGGCATATGCTCTTGACTCACGAAAGGTGAGGGCCTCCTTCCCCCATGATCTGCTTCCACTGGCGCATATGCCTATCTTCCACTGGCGCATATGCCTATACATATTGGCAATCACAAGCATTTATACAAACTCACAGTATTCTCTACACACTTTCCTTGTTGCAACTCAATGGCTAAAGTACAATCCCGTTCTCGGTTATTCATGTTTCTAAAATTTAACTGTAATTCGTATTAAGATACAAAATACAATAGTTTCATCATGGTTTAAAATGTTCTGTATAATGAATAAACTGCTATAAAACAATATGATGTTCATTTTGATTCTTTAATTCCACAGAAATTTCACTTGATTTATACATTATTATTATTTGAGAGCAAACGGGCTGAGGTCACATAAGATAGCCATTTATATTGTAAAGTTCTTTCAGGGGCTTGCCCTTCACGGCCCCGGGCCCCCAGCATTTGGTTCCTCGCTTCGATCAGAACACTTGTACCCCACATAATATCACGGACCCACACTCTATCCTCAACCACCCCCCCCCCCCTAAAGAAATATTCTGGTGTTAGGCCTACGCCACTGATTTGGATGCTTGAACTATGACTGTGCAAAGGTTCACGGCATGCAGAGAACTAAAGGGTAGATTAGGCATACACTAGTACAAAGAATGTAGGACAGTATGCCTCCCTTAGTTGTGATTTCAAACCCGGACGCGTGAGCAAAATATACTTCCTGATTTATTTAGTTGTTTGAATTCTTTACATTTCGAATTTATAATTAAAATAATATTTCGCTGTGTTGATTTTGTTTGCAAGTTCCTGTTTTCAGATTTGTGCAGACCACTGTTTCCACGGGTATGGATGGGATGATGGATTTGACCTCAGACCATGACTTGCAATACGCATCTTTGGTTTAAAAAAGAATTACGTGACGAATTATTTAAACAAGGCTCTGTTGCATAGCGTATCTACGGGAATACGTGTGGGGGACGGGAGGGGGCTATAAAGAGTTTGCGTAACCATCCCAATGGACATTTGCTGAACCAAACCGTTACCCTTAGTAGTTGAAAATTACCTCATATCACTGCTTTGCCAGTGTCCTTCACTTAATCAACGAGCCACTGCACTTTCCCCTAACTCACCTTTCATTTTTTTTCTGTGTGCTGTGATCTTCAATTTCCGTTAATCAGAAAGCACGCATATCAATTTAAACATCAGCAAAAGATCATATTTGTACTATTTTTAATAACTAATTTGACCATTTTTAAATGAGTTATTCAATGATTTCATAGATTTTCTAAAGGAGTTTTCAGGCTTCATGACAGATTCGGAACTAAATTTGAGTAGTAATTTAATCCATTCATCTGAAAAATTATCCTGTTTGAATCCTGTTGAAATCATGTTGGAATAGTAACGGGAAGTGCGCTGCTGCGAATCCAAACATTATATCACAGTATAGTATAGTGGGCCTGTATCATAGCGATCATAATTTCGGGGGCCTTAATACTAATAGTTGCATAGGGTATAGTGGGAACGAATGAAAACACAGCATAATGAAGGAGGAGACATTTATCTTTCGTTTTATATGTATTTTATTTCATAATTTTATATGTATTATATTAAAAAGAAACAAAAATAACGGTAAAAATATACGAGTTGTAAATTAATGTAAGGCCTACTAAAAGCTGGACATATTTTGGCTTATGCGGATTACTTAATTAATTGGCAAGTCATTTTGAAGCGAGTTTGGTCTGGCGGACAGATTTTGGCCACGGGCCAAATTTGCCCTGACAGTCCAATCCACATAATCCGTGACGGAAGTATAGGCTTACTGTATAGGTTTCCTGGTTTTACATTTTCGCAATATAGAGAGGCCTAACGTGGCCTGTCAGGCCCATGACGTGCGCTATCTTAGTAATAGAAGGGAGGTATAATAAACTAAAATCAAATTTGTATCAATAATAATAATCAATCAATAACACTACGGCACTTTAGATAGGCTTTTCTTTTTCCATCTTTATTTCAGAGGTCAAAAACATCTTTCAATTTTTTCCGATCATATAGTGGTGTAGAATAGTCTTTTGAGAACATTTTCCAGAAAAAATTAATGTGATACGACCCTCCGTTATGTAGTTATGAATTTCTCTTTAAGATTTGTAGAAAGGCGTATTAGAATGTAGTGGTACATGATAAATTCCTCACAAGAAATAATACTACCCCATTTGTAGAATGGAATCGTCAATTGTTATATAATTGTGGTAAGACAAACAGCACGGCTCAGTATTGAGGAAGACTCATCAAAATCTGGAGAAAATTTGCTAATCTGTTATCATGGAAAGGAGAAATAGCACAAAGCGATGCCATGATGAAAAACATGTACAAGATGATGGGTTTAAGCGCCAGAAGTCAATATCTGACGATCTCAACATGCAAACGTTAGTTATGGACGATCCACAACCACCGTTGCCAGAGGAGGAGGAGGAGGAGCAAGTGGATGGTCAGCAGCAGCAGTTGTTGGCGATAGAGGAGAAGATATTCCCTACATGCAGAGGAAATGATTTTGGTGCTGGCAGATTTCTGGAAAATATAGGAGAAAAGGTCATTACACTTTTCAACAATCTTCCGGGAAAGCTTCCCTTGCATATTCATCATCAAAAACCTACGAAAATAAAGGTAAATATTACGTAGACAGATGAAGTAGGAGGAATTGTGCAATTTCTCAAGGTAGCGTAGTGGAAAGGGAAAGGGATTATAAACAAACATTGCAACACAGGGGTCGCAATTCTCGCACTCCCGTAAACAAGCAAGAATCTCCCGGAAATAAACCATCTCCTGCAAATTCATAATATTTGCATGTTTTCACTGCTTTATTATCATGTGTCTCATGGAAGTCAGAGCCGATTGTTATCGCAATGTACATGCAGCAAAATAAAATGAAATGTTTTAAGAATGCTCATTAATTAAATACAATATAACCCTGGTTCTTAATAGGCAGCCCGCCGGCCAAATTTGGGCCACGAAGCAAACTATTCTGGGCCGCGAGAAAAAATTTTAATAATATATAAAAAAGATTTATAGAAACTAAAAGTAATAACCATTCGATGAATATATTTTTTTAATAAAGTGAAGGGCAATCACAATACTGGGCCAATGTGAAGTAGAGGTGACCACACCCAGATCTATAATTGAATCCTTTACCAACCAATCGACAAACGCCAAAAGATTGGTAGTCTTAGTTCAGCTAAATATGACATAGCAGATTAAAAATAATAACTTTTCCATAGACTTGTTTTCATTATGAGTAGACCCGAGATCTTACTGGCGAAGAGTTTTTAGGCTTTAAATCCCTGGTATTTGGTGGATATAGGATGGGTGAAATTACAGAGAAAATACCTATTGTGTGCCAAACTATTAAGTTGAACAAACTTTGTTATGATTGTATTTGTTACGATTATACCTGAAACTTCATGTTTGGTTTGAAAATAGGCCTACCAGGGAGTTGTTTTATAGACGCCAGACCAGGTAACAGTATTAGGCGTAAATGATGAGAAGCAAACATAAGAACAAAAGTCAATATCGTCTGTTTTTGTAACTTGTAGTTTGTCAAGATTTGAAGGGTAATCTTTCTTCACACAACATTGCAGCATCCATTTAAGATAATGAAATATCAAATGTTTTGTAACGGTTAACAAGGATGTTTCTAGAAAAGAATTGCTTAACTTTGCAAATTATATTTAGATTCAGATTATCCTTTTTTGTCATGACGATGTCGTGAGATTTATTTTCCTTGTTACATATGAGGAAAACAAATAAAGGTACATCAAAATATAGAAAAAGTTAGTTAAATATATATCAAACACATACAAAAATTAATGCACAAAACAAGATGAATTAAATCAATATATAAAAATATAGATAATGAAATAAAATATCCAATGTATACAGTTATTCAGCGGTTGAAGTCGGAGTTGTATAAACGTATGGCCGATAGTAGCCTATAATTGAGTTTTTGAATCTGTTCGTTTTTTAACTTTAAGTTAACAGAGTCTACCAGATCTATTTACAACAATGGCATCATGCAATGGATGAGTTTTCTCTTGTAATATAATCTTAAATTTCTTAAGTAAAGCTCTATTGCACAAAGAGTCAAGATTATTTATCATTGCTTATTAAGCTGCTTTCCTTTCTAATAATTTTGTGGAGTTTATGACGATTTTCGAGAGTTGATTATACCAAATAATAGAGCAGAAAGTCATAACAGACTAGAAGACAGATGTGTAACATAATGACATGATACATGGGTTAACACTGAACTGTTTCATTTTACGAAGCAAGTATAACCGTTGGTTACACTTGGAGCTAATTTTGTCAGCATTAGTGGTTCCAGTGGTAGCATTAATAAGATGGTAATAAGCAGCGCGTATGTTCCCAGCGAAATATATGTAAATATAGACATTGATATACGATCAAAATAATACACAGTTGACGTATTATAGGAACATAATTTTTATTAGGCACGAATATTTCGTCCTGTCCTCAGGACTTTCTCAACGTGATATTCGTGCCTAATGAAATTATCTTCCTATAATACGTCAACTGTGTGTGATTTTTATCGTATCACATATACATAAAAGACCTATATTTATTAATATAACACAACCGTCCACTACACTGTGTTTCACGCTTAATGCGATCCTCAGGTAGACTGAATATAACTCTGTACTACACATAGGCCTATATAGCTTTCAATCATCAGGTGGTAGGTAGATTTTCCTATTGTTATAGTGGCGGGATTTGGATATTAGTTCAGATCTTTTATTTAACAGATTTATTTACTACGCGTAGTAGACGGTTCTGTTCTATTAATAAATAAATAAATATTTGGCTCTTGCAACAACTTGCAATTTAGCACTCTTCGCCGCTTCAAAGCACATTTAATTAGTTTATATATATATATATATATATATATATATCCATGTATATATATATATATATATATATCACATCTTAATATATACAAGACATGAGTTGTTTTTGAAGGAGGAGAAGAAGGAGGGGCAGCAGCAGTCATTGGAGGAGGAAGATCAGGAGCAGGAGCAGAATGAAGAGGAGGAAGAAGAGAAGGATAAGGAGGGTCAGAAGGCGGATAAGGAGAGGCAGTTGTTTATGAAGGAGGAGGACATAATCTCAGAAGACTGTGTAGATTTTAGTGGTTGCAGTTTGACGAAGCCTATAGGAAAAATTGCAATAGTACGGCTTTTCAACGATCTTGCGGAAAAGCTTTCCAGGGTTTATGGTCAATTTAAACCCGTGCAGGTAATAGTATTACGTAGAGTTTGCAGTTCATGATGAGGTATATGTTCCCTGGAATTCTTCAGTTGTTCCAAGTAGGGCCTACACACATGCAAACACTCCTGATTTGACCAGGAGATTTCTGATTTTGAGACTTGTCTCCTGATTGAAAATCGTTCTCCTGATTTTCCCCAGCTTCTTCTGATTTAAGAGACACCTCATGAGAGGGTACACTCCTCATCCAAACCTACCCCCGACTTGGCCTCCCGCCCTCAGTTGGCGTGTAGCGCCAAAATACTAAAAATATTATGCAGAAACACATCATATCTGATCTTTTTCTACTGATTTTTATTACTCAAATGTTGGCATGTATGCAAGTAAGCCTACTTGCCTACTTATATATGCGCTGCAGCAGCTATGGGAAACTCATACTTCTAGCCTAGCCACAGCTTATTTCCTGAATTAAATCGCTATGATTTTTTTTGGTAGGTCGTATCATCAGATACAAAATGTGCCGTGGATCAATTTTGGTGGACTGCTTTATCGTAGGCTTATTGATTGTATTTCTATACCCATTTTTTTCCTTAGGTAGGTCTATGTCCCATAACAATGATGTAAGATTAAGTACAAGACTTAACAAAACACAGGAAAACGGATATCGGTGGTAGACATGCCTATTATCCGATACGGTATATTTGTTCCGGGGATTTACTATGTTTTGTCATAGCCATTTTATGCCCACTATTAGAAATAATATAGTCGATGTAATGTTTTGTCTTGTGATTTCAGGATAGGTGAGATGTGAAAAAAAAATACAAAAAAACAATTCATTTTTCGATCTATTCACTCATTTACAGCACAGAGCTCATCATAGCAATAAAAAATCAAAAACAAAAACAGAAAAAAACTAATTCTTTAATTTGCCGTATAAATTGTTTTACGTTGTGAAATACAAACTATTAGGCCTACACCTGGGGAAGAAACCTAAAAGAAAAAAGGAACGATCAATATTCTGCATAAAATCCCCGTTAATCGAACATTACGGTACATTTTGTGCGATGGATTTTAGCAGTATTTTTTTTCTATTTTGAATTCGGATCCGCCACTGCCTTTCGAAATTGCTCTCAGAGACTGCTGTGCTCTTGTGTTTCACTTTGTAACAAAAACAGAAAAAAAAACTAATTCTTTAATTTGCCGTATAAATTGTTTTACGTTGTGAAATACAAACTATTAGGCCTACACCTGGGGAAGAAACCTAAAAGAAAAAAGGAACGATCAATATTCTGCATAAAATCCCGGTTAAGCGAACATTACATTTTGTGCGATGGATTTTAGCAGTATTTTTTTCCTATTTTGAATTCAGATCCGCCACTGCCTTTCGAAATTGCTCTCAGAGACTGCTGTGCTCTTGTGTTTCACTTTGTAACTTGATCCTATCAGTCAGTTCAGTGACTTATGTTCACTGTTTGATTTTCTTTGCTTAGCTTCTTGAGCTTGTTTTTTGCACTGTTTATTAATATAATATAGGTTATGCTTTATTTTACAGGACGACGGTGGTGCACCCCTACATATGATGAGCAGCTGTGGTACACCTGTATCGCTTGGGATGCAGCTTCGGCAGTCTAATGAGGGATTCGACGTCTGTCAAGTGAATGAGAGGAGTCTCATAAAAGACAAGTTAAGGTAGGAAAACTGGCATCACTTCTTTTAATTAACAGAAGGTCTCAGACGTCTTTGAATTCACCCTAAGAAATTTCACTTATAGTTTATATTGTTGATCATTTGGAAGCATACAGCCGATAGGGAGGAAGTGCCTCGTAACACATCATACAAAAATGTTAAAATCATTAAATAAAGTGAAGATCCAATGACCTTAGCTTCTGACTTCACACCCAGATCATCTGAGGATATCTACCTGTACCTCTGAGCCCGTATTTTTCTATTGAAGTTGTTAGTTGGCGGTAACAGGGTCTATAACGAACAACAGAGTGAAATATACATAATGTCGGCAATAAAGTGAATACAGTTACTATAATAGTCTTTAAACGAAAAAGTTATTTTTAAATATCAATTGTTTGGAAAGGTTCCCTAGCCGGGACAATTAATTTGGGCACTATTTCAATCAACAATAATTGATAAGGTTGTCAAATGAAGTGGAAATAATAATAAATTTATGTTTACTTTAGAAGATGCTATTCAGATTTGTTTTTCAAGTAGATAAAGCAAATTTAAACACCAAGCATGAGCTTTTTTCGTTCCATGTTTAAAAAAAAAACACTACAAAGCACTTAAAACCACTTTTAGTTTTGATCAGCATTTGGAGGTTTTATGTCGGTTACCCTCTAATTATGTTGTTTGAAGATTATTTGTAAGTATGCTTGATTCAATTAGGCCTACTTTATAATACAGCTGAGACTTTTAGAGTACTTTCGAACTTATTCAGCCCCATTTCGTAAGGGATTAGATGCTTGGAGAAATGATCTGGTTGGATTTTATCTGCGATATACCCATGTGGTTAAGTGGTATGACACTCGCCTTAAGGAGTGAGATCACAGGTTCAATTTCCTGCCAAGGGCCACTTTTGTGATAAGGAACTTTTTCGTTGATAGTTTATGTCCGATGCGATGTTTACATCGTTGTAAGTTTTCTCAGGAACTCTTTCCATTACTTGAACTTTTATGGGATTAAAGCCCTCTCCAAAGTATTTGACGTGCCTAAATGTGGTCATGATGACATTTCATATCATGACCATATATGGGCTCATCATGACTATATATGGGCTCATCATGACTATATATAGGCACATCATGACCATATACAGGCACATCATGACTATATATAGGCACATCATGACCATATATAGGCACATCATGACCATATACAGGCACATCATGACCATATATGGGCTCATCATGACCATATATAGGCACATCATGACCATATATGGGTATACATCATTTTTTTCTCAAAAACAATTTGATAGTCTACACATAGCTTAAACATAAAATATATTTGAAAAAAATTGGTTGATCACAATCCAACTATTCTTTCTGTTTTTAGAGTTGGAGATAAGATCATAAAGGTTTGTGGTCTAGAGATGGCTGATATGAAAATTGAAGATATTCAAAAACTATTCATGCGTAATAAATCGATTAAAATTGTGAGTTAAATTTTAAATCCTTCGTAATCATTTAATCATTCGTAGATTCATCATTTATAATGTGATGTGAAATGTTGCTTACATTTGTTTTCAGTATTCATATTATAGTCTCAGTAGTGTATAGGATAGATCAGAATGATAATGATAATTAATGAGTTTTCCTCGATAATTAGCTTTAGTAAAGCCTAATGGTCTATATTCAATTGATGTTGATTTTTCAGAATAAAACGAATAATTTGTTTTTGTATTTTTTAAATTTTCTATAGACTATCAAACGTAGTATTCAATTGGGAGAAGATTGTGTCGATGGAAAAAATGGCGTTCATTCATTTGTACTCAGCTGCACACTTGCTGTCCAAGGTATCAACCATTATCTTCTTGTAAGCATTACATGGCTTTTGCCTACGACTACAATAGGCTGCTTCCACATGAGCATATTACCCCCATAACGTAGACCCATGCCTCCGTATACCGCATAATGTTATGCACTTAACACCCTCCTGATTTTTGTCTATTTCTCTCGATATTTAACTTTCCTAAAACCTTTCGAAAAAATATTTTGAGACACAAAATTTAGGTCTCAGATGGCAAAGTCACATATAAGCCCTACATAATGTGTCACATTAATCGTGATAGTGTGATCAATTAGACCATGGACTTCATCATGAGTGTGATATCATATTGGCCATGGCGAAATCACACAGCCGCCAGGACAATTTCCCCCCGGACCCCTCCCCCACCATACGTTAAATAAAACAAGAATTTGAATACAAGGAATATATCAAAATTTACATCATCTATTTTCTTATAACTATGAAATTAAATATGAGAAGATGTAAAGGGGGAAGGGAAAAAGTCCTGGGGAAATTGTCCTGGAGTGGGGTGGCAAATGACCGGAAAGCAAAATGTCACAGGGAGAAAATGTCAGAGGCGAAAAAACTACCATTCGCAAATGTCCGGGGAATGTCCGGCGAGGGGAGGGGTGGAGGGGAGGACAGCAGCCTCTCACAGAACTTAATATATAAAATAAAAGCTTTGTGTGCTTCACATATTGATGTTAAATTTGTTTGCTTATAAATTAGATGATGGAGTGGAAGTGTTTGATGTTAATTTTGAAAGATGTGGCAAGTACCAGTTAATGTTTCACAGAATGCAATCTCGGATGTGTCTCTTCCGCAACGACTTCACGAACGGTAGTCAGGCTTATTTACGTTGCAAGAACGCAACCATCGAGGCCGGTAAATTTCATCAAACCATGTGTAAGTATGTTATAACCGAACTATCATTTAGTTATATATACATTCGTTGGTTGGTTCATCAATTAATGAATTCATTCATTTATTCATTCATTTTAATTTTTAAAATATCAATGCATACCGTATTAATGTTATGTGCTACTCACTTATCTATCTGAACCTGTTGTGCCCCACGTTTGAAAAATTCTGGATTTGCCCCAGAATAATTCATTCATTCATTCATTCATTCATTCATTCATTCATTCATTCATTCATTCATTCATTCATTCATTCATTTATTCATTCATTCATTCATTCATTCACTTATTCACTCATTCATTCATTCACTCATTTATTTATTCATTCACTAATTCATTCATTCATTCACTCACTCATCCATCATTCATTCATACATTTACTCGTTCCTTCCTTCCTCCTTTCCTTCTCTATTCTTCTTTCCTTCATTTATTTTCTTCGACAACGTTTATATTTGCCTTACTGCAATGTTTTAATGGAAATTTAATGTATGCGTATAACGTATACACAATAAGGGCTTGAGTAAAATGCAGTAGTATTTTACTTATTTTAATTCAAGTAAATTATTCTTGCATTTCAATGTAATATTAATTTCAAAATAAATAGTATTACATTGTTGCTACCATTCTTATTCACAGCAAGCTTTGAAGTCCGCACATTTATCAATTTAAGAGATACGACAAAACAAGTCTGGATTCTGGGGAATGAGAGTAAGTTTATAACGGCATCCGGTGATAGGAGTAACATCGAACTTACTGTAAGTTATCATGGTGTAATAGGCCTACAATATAGTTTTTCATCTTTAATGATCCGTTCCGCTAAGCACCACCCCTTCGATTGCATATTGTTGCTAAAATTAACGATTTATATTCAAACTAAAAACATTCAAAAACATTCTTACATTTACTATAAAATGTGTCTCCCGCCAGATACACTGATATTTACTTTTTTTTTAAATTCCAGAAATGCTATTCATACGCCTATATATCTGTCTCTTATACACATCTAGATGTGTATAAGAGACAGGCCCTACATAATGTGTCACATTAATCGTGATAGTGTGATCAATTAGACCATGGACTTCATCATGAGTGAACATGGTAAGTAACAACGAGACAATAGACAACTAAAAGCTACGCCTAAAGCACGGGGAAGTTCTGCTTAATTCGAAATTTAGGAATATTAAAAATACCATTAAAAATATCCATGTAGAGTACTATTATAAGTCAACATTTAATGATTGTTACACAGTCTCTTATTTACATTTTATTTTACTCGTAATGTGAGAATATAACACAATCCTTGTTTCTTGTTGTTTAATTCAAATCATAGGATGGACAAGTTGGACCGCTAATAAGCTGTGATGGGCGTGCATTTATTTATTCCAAATATTCACCAGATTCATTTTCATTAGAATCACTGGAACACCCTAGTAAGTAAGCTCAACATACCATGATGGTTTCAGTGTTAGTGTGCAAATTAATCACCACCATTATATTATTATTTTTGACGAGTGAAATTAAATAAATTTCAACTTAAACTTGAAGAATACATTTTCATATTCTGTGCTTAATATTCTTGAAATAATAATAATAGGCCTAATATTAATAATGCTCGAAATTATTATTATTATTATTATTGTTGTTGTTGTTGTTGTTGTTGTTATTATTATTATTACTTAATAATATTAATTTAAATTGCTTTCCGGGGTCAAGAAAGGAGCGGTCATGTTCTGTCCATGTTCCCGCCCATCTTTTCACAACTATACACGAAAATTGTACCGTTGAGTTAAAACTACACCAACATTGCCCAACAGAGTATGAACTCATGTATGGACTCGATAAGAAGAGTTGCTTTTTTGCTGGTACAAATTAAGACACGTAAACCTAAGATGGTTTAATATCAATGCTTTTGTCATTTCTTTTAGAACATTATCTTGGAATTGACGGAAATGAAGTAAAACTGTTATATTTTAATAACTTTCCAAGCGATGATGATGAAAGGAAATGTAAACTGGAAGTCAAAGCCGTATGATGAAGTGCAAGGCGATTACGCAATGGCGTAAAAGTAGTGCGAAATGAGAATTCATTGATTTTGGTTATCACTAAGTTTTTACGTTATTTAAGTTATGGGGTTTTCAGATCAGATGTTAGGATCAGCTGTGTTGTGAAATGCATTTTACAGACCCAAACTGCTTTTAGAAATAATGGACAATTTCGCTATGCCCAGCTGCTTGGATACTGTTGCTATGGTCCCACAACACAACAGTGTAAAAATTATACGCAAATAGTGCGTTTGTGGGACAACACGTGTGCTTGTTAGCCATGCGCGTCTTCCAGGGCCTGTTCTGATTGGTCAGTTTGTAAGTTTGATCATGGTTTGATTGACACACCGGATTGACCCATTAAACTTTGTTTTTGGTAAAGAACTGCTGAAATATAACGTAACGTATTATTAACAGAGCTGAAATTTATCAAGCGTAATTTATTTTGGTAATGTATATTATAGAGCTTAAATCAAACATATTTTACTTTGGAATATCCGTAATAAGCGGCAAGTTAGATGGTATAATTTGTTATTTTAGTTGTTTTCTTAGAAAACATTCGATTACTTTACAATCATAATTATACTATACGTACTGTACAAATAATTATAATCAACATTTGTAAGTTAATGACAAAAACAAAAAAATATTGTGTTTTACTATAGGCCAAAGTCTAATAGGTGGCTAACCCCGTGTATTTTGATTAATGATTAATTAATTAATGGTTAATTAATTAATGTCTGAAGAGTGCTGTTTTCATCGAATATTTATTTCGGTTTCACTTGAAGAAGTGAGATGAAGTTTTTTTTAAATTTCTATTGATATAAACTATTTGTTTGCTGAGAGCCAGACTCTAGCTTCATGTAGATAGCAAATTGGGAACGGTACGTCACGTTATTACATTTAAAGTTAAATAGTGACAGTGGGTAACAGAACGATGACATCAGGAAGAGTAAACGTCACACCGTTAGCATTCCAGCACTACTACTACTACTACTACTACTACTACTTTTATATTTTAGGTATAGGTTTGGCTTTAAGGTCAACGAAAACTAGTTTGTAGGCAAATGACGATCATGAGTGTAATGTATACTGAATGTTTAAAAAATGAGAATATTGAGTTGAATAGTAGTTTTACCCGGGCCACCTTTCGATAATGAATATACACCTGTGGAAAATATACCGGACCGGAGGAGAATACACAACGGTGGGCTCAAAGCTTTTTTTCATTTCATTTATTCATCAATTACAATTAACAATAAAATAAACAAAAAGACAAATAATACAAAGTAAAGCAATATTCACCGCTGATTCGATGTTCTGTTTTCGTTTCGTGTGTGAATATTGCTTTACTTTGTATTATTTGTCAGTTGTCCTCACACTGAGGAAGAACACAGGAGTGTTTTAAATATTTGTGAATTAATAAATTATATTGCTTCTAATATGTCTACAACTCATAGCTGTTTTATATTGCTGTCTTTCTATATTTTATATATATATATATATATATATATATATGAGAGAGAGAGAGAGAGATAAATAGTTGTGTATGTAGATAAATAGTTGTAAAATCTATATATATTGAGTGAAGACAAGCCAGTTTGGGCAAGGGGAGAAGTACCGCCAGCTCACTGACCCCTGCTAAGTGGATGAGATTTGTTTGACTTTTGTTTAGTAATCTTACCATTGATTGGAGGGAAATTTGTCGGAATATCACGAGTAATACCATGCGAGTTGCAACAGCTCTATGTAGGCCTATATATCGCCTATAATACAATTTGGTCTGTAAAAATAAAACATAGTAAATAAAGATATACGGTAATTTTTAGTTCTATTAATATATATATATATAAAAATTGAGAGTCCCGGGTGCCCCTCCCACGTCGGGGAGAAAATCCATAATGAATTTTCTACATATTAGTAGACTAGATTAAATCAATTTCTCCTAAATTAAATTGTCATATTTTTCGGGGGCTTCTCCCCTGGAGCACTTTCAAGAAACTTTGTACGGCCACTTTGCTCTCGCCGAGGACATCGCGCTCTCGCCGAGGACATCGCCCCCTCCCCCAGTCGGGAACCTCACTATTTATGACACCAGGCTAGTTATATGAAGGTCGTGGGTTCAATTCCCACCCGAATCACTTGCGAGATTTTTTTGCAAGTATTGGAACGTACTGAGTATTCAATAGGATAACACGTCAGGTGGGGCAAAACAAATCTCTCCAGAGAACACTGTTACATAACAGTATACAGTCTTATATTTATTATATTTTATTACAGTAATATTCAGATAGGTCTTAAAATAGTAATAAGCCTCCCTCCAGTTAACGAAAAGTTTTTGGACCGCCATTTCATGGTCTTTAACATTATTTGGCCTTTAGTTAAAAAGATAAATATTAATTTTGGGCTTCAAAAGGCGGTAATCGATTGTAGTGGTCTTGGTTAATTAGAAGGAGACCTGCTTATGCCTAATATGTATTAAGTAATAACAACAATTTGCTTTGTAGAAATATTGTATCATTGTATTTTTTCAATTAGCTTTATTATGCAATAGATGTTATTAGGTTTGATATTTTACTACATTTAGCTTAGAATAATGATAACCCGTTTTTTAATTAGATTAAGTTATTTTTCTGAATAATGGGTAATGGTAATGGTTTGTATATATTTTGTGGTTATACTTTATATGTAATTTATAAGATTGCAAACAGAAAATGAAAAAAAAAATCAATTTATATTCTAATCGCTTAATATATAGGCTTAGGCCTAAGTACGTTATTAACTTAAAAGTTAATTGTAACTTTCCCGTATTATTTTGTGTAAGCCATTATATTGGCTAATAATGAATATATTAAGATAGTTTTGTAGTAAAATATGTGTGAATCAGCGAAAACTATTTTCGATTCGTCTTTGGTTTAAAGCTACTAAATTCTAGTCCATTTTACGTGAGCGTCAAATCAAAAATAAATCAAATCAAATCAAATCAAAAGCTATTCAAACTGTCTTTGTTGAGGTTTTCCTCTTGGTTATTTCTGACAGACACTGTATGTCATTAATGGATTGCCCTGTGTTGCTATTTGACGTGACTTATATGTATCAATGCAAGATACATAAGGCTTAGTACCGTTATGATGTTGCTGCAACTTTTATCATCCATTATTAATGTTCATAACATTACTACGATAACGATAACGAATACGTCATTGTCATTATCATCATTCGTGCCTAAAACACTTGACGATATGTAGTAGGAGCTGAATACGATGCTTGTTCATGAACAAGGCATGAATAGACTACGTTATGACAGGCATGCTACTGTAGTGGAAGGCTTGTCTAAAAAAAGTTACAACGAAACTACCGTATTCTTTATCGTTATCGTGAGCTTGCGAAACCTTCCTATCGTCAACTTGTTGCGATTACGGTCAGCTTTAAGGCTGTGTTCACGCTGGAGAAGTTATACGCGATGACGCTAACGCAAGCGACGTAAGCCTTTGCGTCAACATTTTTGTTCTAGTGTGAAGAAAGTTTAAACTTGCCAGCATGATGTAATGTATACGTGCGAATTAATATAGCGCATTATACCGAAGTGTCTCAATACACTTAAGAAGAAAATAAATAGGCCTATGTGGTGATAACGGAAATACCCAATTTACAATTTATTTGGGTCGCGACATTTTTTTTAACTTCCTGATATATTGATCAGGCGATAAAAATCACTATTTCTTCCTTCCTGAAGTCGATGGATTGAGTGCAAAGAAAACTATTCAAAACGAAGGTCTCACGCAACTCAACTGTTCATTCAAGTTAGGCCTACCGTCTCATTACATGGTGTATCAGCCATTTATTATTGAACGATGTATTTGTATAAAAGTATTAAGCTACAGAGAGCACTTTGAAAAGACAAGACAAAATGTACACTTCCACAGGAAGATAATTATACTATTACGTAATAGATCACATATTTCTTTTTAAAACTAGGCCTATAGACATAGAGCGTTAAGCCAGTTTTCCACTAGGCGAATTTATTCGCGCGAATCTAAATCGTCGTTTCAAGCGCATGCGCATTCACATTTCTATCGGAGTTTTGCCAATCAACCAATCAGAGCTCAGGAAGCGAACCGACGCTTTCGATAAATTCGCCTATTGGAAAACAGGTTTGACCCTTCCAGCGTATACTGAGTAAATGAAAATAACTTGACGCTTTTATCAGCGAAGTCTCATCATGAGGCTTAGGGGGTGGGGTTTTTGGTCGTTAGAGAAAGTCCTGCCACAGGAATTGAACCCAGGACCATGGGATTAGAAGGGAAGCCTCTCAATTCTAAAAAATAGGCATATCTGATTATATACATAATGCCACACTACCACACAACAACATCGATTTCATGTTTATTTAATCACTTATTTATTATCCCATCCAACAGAAAACTAGGCCTACAGATTCGCCACAAGCTGTGGGAAAACATACGAACAACAGATAACAGATTCAATATGAACAACCTGCGGAATACTATGGTACATTCTAGGCACTGCTGCTGCTACTTGCTACCTCCTACACATTGGTGTATCTTGAACTATGCCAAAGTTCAGACTAAACACGACGTACAAACACAGAACTGAACAACAGTTATGCAAAGATTGAAATTAAAAAAACGTGTGTACAATTGCAATAGAAGTTTTTGTTCAAAAATATTTGTAGATTGTATCTTAACTGTGACAATGATTCGATAACATCGATACACAAAAACGGAATAACAATGCAGTTCGCCCAATTCGAGACCACCATTGGGACCTGAAAATTTGGGGTGGTCTCGGGGTTGGTCTCCAATTAGAGGGCTGCTTTGTGTTAAAAGGTTGGAGATTGTTATTTGGGTCTTCGAAAAAGTAGTCTCGAATTAGAGGGGTCTCGGATTTAGAGGGGGTCGCGAATTGGAGGGTGCACTGTAATTGAATAGATACATTGACAACGTTCTTGTATAGAATTTAAAATCCTTTATATTAGATAGTCTACAAGTCTACACTATCACAGTACTGTATTATAGAACATAAATACCCAATAAAAAAAAACTTTTGAAAATTATATTTCAATGAAAGTATTGTTGTGGGACAAGGCACGTATGTTCTACCTGTGCTCTAGAAGGCCATTTAAACAAAGCCTTACTATACAGTCTTACTCTGCTGACAGTCTTAACAGTAGGCCCATTTATGTAGAAGCCGGTTGAAATAATTCATTACAGTACTATTTCACATGAAATTAACTTTGGGTTTGAATCCCGATGTGGAAGTACGTTTTTCTTAATGATCTTCATCAGTAACTTTTAAACGTGTATCAAGAGTATAGGCCTAATAAGATCACCACTAATCGATTGTTTCAGACAGTCAACCAGTAGTTTTATCTCAAAAACCATGGTCTACCGAAACTTTATTTATTTTATTCAATATTGATACTTGCCACGCAAACCTCTAAGAAATATTTTGTATCAATGGTATTATCGTGGGAAGGGAACTTAGGCTGCGTAGTCGCAATGTAGTTGAGAAAATGACGTGATAGTTGCTGGGAAGGATGAGCCCCTACCGAAACATTATACTTATGAGTAGGCCTAATATGTTGTTAAGCAATACCAGAAATCGTTATGTATTACAGTAGGGCCTATAGACGAAAACGATTTTTTAAAAAAAATAAAAGATAGTATTTTACCAATTGTACAGAGTCTTTCTAGTTTAAATACCTATACATTACTTAGCAAATATCCACAAAGAGACGGGGGCTGCAAGCATTTTATTTTTAGGGTGGGTGAGAGCTTGCACTCCTCACGCCCCACGCTTCCCTCACCTTACGCCGGGCACACAGTCATCCGACGAATTCATGTCTGCTCTTTGCCATCGTTTGACGACACGACGCCGTCTACTGATTGTCGGTGGCAGTCTGAGCGGATCGCCAATAAAAACGATTCGTTGGGCGCACGCAACGAATATATATATATATATATATATTTTCCTGTCTCTTACACACAT